GGGAGTGGAAGTCCATACCTCTTAAAGTTGCCACGGTTGAGCAACACTGCTTTAACCTGCAACCTATTGCAGCCTTATCTGTACGCATCACTCCCATCTCTTTGAAAGGACAACATTGGGACAGCCTCATCAGTAGGACAAGCATCTTATGCAGCTCCAACCTGAGAGCTTCTGAAGGATGTCTGTTTTTCAAACCATTTTAGGAAAGACCAGGGGGATGGGACATAGAAATCAGTACCCTGGCGTCCATTGCTCCTTGGATCTGACCTCAGAGGCTGACCTGCTTCAGAGGGCCTGGAGGGCCCATGGTTCCTGCCAGGTTAGACCTCAGCATTGCGCAGAACGGCCACTCTGTAGAATTAAGGGGCACTATATTCCCTTAAAGATTACTCCCATATTGTCAGGTTCAGCCCAAAGAACTCCAAGAGACAATGCAAATACAGTTCTGTTACGTTTATTAGCTACAACCTCCAGACAGAAAATCTCCCCACACTGAACCCTAGTTCCCAAGCCAGCCAGCCAGCCAGCCACAACACCGTGAATTCCTTAGGGAGGTGCCAGCCTCATCTTCTTGAACTTCCCACGCTCCTGCTGGGGGCTAAGAACATGCTTATCTCCCTGAGCCTGGCCTTGATAAGTCCATTCCATCACACATACACTGTTAACCTTCCGGATGATTCTCACACTTACCTTTTCTTTGCAACAGGACAAGCCAACTACCAGACAGTACAGTTGGAAGCGTATCCAGCACACAGCTATTAACATGCATGCCATCCTTTCTCAATGATCTCACCACCCTAATCCTGCTATAGCATGGGATAGACTGCAAAGCTAAGCAACAACAAAAATCCAGCTCTTGCTAGCTAAGGCAACCCATCCTTTCACTGGAGAAAACAGCCAGGGAGCTGCCAGCTGTGTGACAGGTGAAGGGGAGGATACCTTAGGTCAGTGAGCCCTGGTGCATGATGGGAGCTGTAGTTTTATTTGTTCAGAATGTATGGAGAAGAAGGAAGATAACCAGGAATGGATTTTTTCCCCCTAAGTTGTAGTAGTAGTCCTCTGGTCTAATTCCTGGGCTCTGAAGTTGTTAAGTATACTAGTAATTACCATCAGTGGATTATATACTGGTTTTTTGGTAAATAAACAACAGCCCCAAACCAACTTGGTTGAATCTGACCACTTTGTTGAATCTTACTATAAAACTATTAGCATAGAATGTTAGAATAAACAAAAAATTCCACGTTAATTAACACTATTAAGCACTCATAAAAAGAGCTTTAAAAAGTTCCTGGATTTCATGTCAATTCATGTGAGTTTAAATAAGCATAGTTTTTCAAACAATTGGCACCAGCTAAAGAAGCTTTAATGATTAGTGACTCTCTTCTGTGCAAGATTAAAAGAGGATTTAAGTCAGGGCAATATCTTCCACTCTCATAATTTGGTAGCTTAAAATGTATTTTCTTCTAAAATTCTATGTTGTTCCAAGAATACACAATTCATTGCCTGCTTGATTTCATATTTGGCAAGTTACTTTTTTTTCCTTCAGTCATGCATAATGATAAACATGCAAAGGTTAGGTTGACCACAGAATATCAGCAAAAATTTTATTGAGGCTTAGGCATATCCAATTTGAAATATTATTTGATACTTTAGAGTTAAAAGAAAAAACAATTACATATTAAAATAATAATTAAAGGATACATACCTTCTCCCTCTTGATTAGGGTGATACTGTTCCTCCTGAACATAGACACTAATATCTATTATCTCAAAATCCTCCCTAAACATTATTTTAGAAGCCTGGAAAAATGGAATCGATTAATGGTGCCTGATATTTTCTCTTATTTTCCAATCGTCCTCTTTTCAACTATGAGGATACATCTGCTCAGTACAAGGAATGGGGATTTTACAGAACTGAAGATTAATTATGCTGTTACTCTGAATATACTTTGCAAAAGGACTGGTCACAAGTTCTACTTGGCCACAAATAAGCCAGGTTCAGTCATTCCTATATAAGCTCTCCAAATCTCATCAATTAAGACCATTAACATTTGAACAATGATGTACATCAACTTCATTTTATGCCAAAATAACTTCATCAGTAGTAGATAAATAATTTCTCTTAAGAATGACAGGTTCTCTTAAAAGTCTTTTTAAAAAGACCCTGAGAGGCTGATCTGGAGTCCAACGAAGCTTGCTGAAATTCTTTGCAATGTGGAGTTCCTTTTAAATCTATTTCAGCAAGTCATCAAAAAGTGAGAGAGAAAAAAATTGACCATGGAAATAATCCATAGATGGCACAATGTTCCATTTAAATGTATTTATTTTCTGGATTGGGTTAGTGAATAAATTATAAATAACTTTAGTGACAACAAAGTTGAACAGTCTGAAGCAACTGTGAAAACCATCCAACAATGTTTCACAAAATTCCGGTGTTGGTTTATTATCCATGTTTCCTAAAGCATATAAATATGACATAAGAAATGATTCAATTTCTGTTAGCTCTCTTGTTTATTTTCACAAAAGACTGGAAAGCTAAAATACATCTTTCAGAGGTATTTAAATATCATAAATTGTTCTTGCTAAAAAAGTAACCAAACAAGTTTAAAAAACCCTACAGTGAAGGATACATTTATTCAAAAGTCATCATTTGTTAGTTATATTAACCATTGCCTCCATCTGTACAAATATTCTGAAACCATTGGAAATAGATCAAGTGTTGACATTTCTCCTTAAAATTATGCTCTACGATCCCATTTTTGTCTTCAGTTTATTTTTCTATTTAATTCTATTTTTAAAATGTTTGTCTTCGTTAGCGAGAACTCCTTAATTCGAAGACATCATCATTTGTACTAGCTTCCCATTGAAAGATTTCAGGAACCTATTTTTTTTAAAAAAGCAACAACAGAAACATACAAAACAAACACAAACCACCAAAGCAAGTCTCACAAATCTTACCTGCCCTTCCCTGCGTTTAGGATGTACCTTCTATATGTCATTGTGCTTGATAATGACAAGCAACAGGTATAAACAGGTAAGCGTGCCCCCAAGTTGAGACACCTGAGCACTACAATGTAGCTTTCTTGGCAACAATACAGAAGTGGGTTCCCTATGGCTTGCTTCTGGGGTGTATTTCAACTTCCCAATCTTGTCTACAACCCTGGGACTTTGTGATGGTCTCCCATCAAACTACTGACCAGATCCAGTTCTGCCTAGGTTTTCTGAGCCCAACAGGTAGACTGTGTGCAATCACTTGCTATGACTAGGAACAAGTAGCTGTTACTACTAACCTGTAATCACTCTGGGAATATATAATTTCCTTGTGACATCCACCCCCCCTCAAATCTGCCATATCACAGGCTTTTCTTCATCATTGAGTTGGAGAAGAGTGGGGATAGTTAATGACAGCCACTCATCTGTTGTGGACCTGCTAAAGTAGTAAGGCAATGGGAGTATCATGGCTGGGGAATTCTGGGAGTTGAAGTCCACTCATCTCAAAGTTGCTAAGGTTGAGAAACACTTGCTTAGGGAATTGTTATTTATGCTCTTCTATCATAGGGAGGGCTATCCATTTCATTCATGAAATATCACTCTGGATGATGGGGGGAGAATGCTGAGCAGGAAACATCATTGTTATAAGTCAAACTGAGAGACTTTTCAACTATAGTGCAGGTAGAAAATCATTAGATCTATTAAACAAAACCCCAAGAAGCCCTTGTCATTTTAAAGCAGTAATAGTTACAGTGATAGGGAACAAAGATTTAAGAGGACATGCTGAAGAATAAACCCTAATTACAGAAAATGATGTTTCATTTGCTACAGACAGTAAATTCCAGCATAGCACCAGAAGCTCTTGTGCTTCATGCAGATGGCAAATGCTTAAACCAGGCCCAAGTTCAGGGAGAAAGAAAACGGCTTATCTTTGCTGAACCAACCCAGAAAGGCATACACAGAATATCAAAACAAAAGTAGATTCCTCCTCCCCAAATGCATATTTTAACATGTCTTTTGTACAAATCAATTTAATACAATCTATGTGATAAACATAGAAAAAACAGCATCACTGTAAAGCACCCACTTTAATGCATGATTGAATTGTCACAATTAAGAAAAAAAAAAGGCTCAATGTATCAGAAATATCATTCTCCTTTTAATGGGGGGGGGGATTCCTAAAAAACAACCTATTTAAATCTCTATGGATCAGTTCTTCCTAAAAATATATTACGTATAAAAATTAGGTTCTATTTAATATGCTCCTTCCTAGGCAATGGATTCTTAACATACCAAGTCTTAAAAAAAGCACACAAGATTACAAAATAAATAACCTGCAGTAGAATATCAGTTCCTGCATGCTTCCACATTCAAGGTTTGGAGGTCTTCCTTTTTAAGGACAGGCATTGGAAACTCAACAGCAGCACAGGGTTCTTCTCTTATAAAAAGGGGGTTTTCTCATCTCAAATTGCTGAGTGAGGCATTTCTTTGCAATGACTTTCTTCCCCCCACCCCACCCCATTTCATCAGCCTAGGGCAAACTGAAAACAAACTAGATTCTCATTGCATTTTAGCACTTACCATTTCCCAGGAAATTCAACAAGCTCAAAAAGTCATTGAATTCTTTTCATCTCTATGCTTACAGGCATTAGGGTTCTCTATCAGCACTCAGAGCAGTCTCATTTTCTTGCAAGCCACATAAACTTGACCTGAGGGTGTCTTTTCCTTTTATATCAACATTTCAGAAAATCTTTGTCCTCCAGTTTCAGCATTCCCCCAATTCCTTTTATCCTGCTGCCAAGGTAGTCAAAATGGTTATTTTCTTTTGTGTTCTTCAGAAAAACTGCATAGTTGTACGTTTGTTACTAGCTGAATTCATCTCATCTACCTGAAAAGTAGTTGTAGCCTACTTCTGATCTCTGGCATCACTCCAAACAGAATAAATGATAAAAAGGAGCTGTTCAACCAGCCTAAAAAGCAGAGTTACCTAAATAAGCATAAAAAAGTGAATAAAGCATTAATTCATAACCTCTGGTCTCCACATGAGTATATTCAGCTGTTCTGCCAAGAAACTCTTGAATTTTTAGAAGCTAGAGAGACAATTGCTGACTGAAACTCCATCCTCAATTTTGCAAACCTAAGAGAAAAGATCTCAAACTGTCCTCAAGAACAGAGTAGCACACACATCCCCAAATAAGCAGAATGTTCACTTTAAAATGCTTTAAAAATAGTTTTAAAACTGGCTCTTGCCACTTTAGGTCTCCTGTGAAGTTTAAAAGCAGAATCCTGTAAAAGATCCGATTTGCATGCAGGCCTTCTTGCTTCGTCAATCCCAAGGCAGTGATGGTAAAATAGATGGAGAGAAATGATTGAGCTGAAAGTGTTTGTTCATGAGCTTGGAGGATAGGCTTGGGGGTGGGAATCAAGCCCTCCAATCATTCTCATCACTGTACTATGACAGGAGGAGATTTTATAAACCAGCACTGGTGCATTCTATTGAATAGCCACTCTCAAAGGATTCTGTCATGTCCATAACAGTATCAATCCAAGTGTGGTTCTGGAACAATGGGGTTGCAGCCCCAAACATCTTGGGGCAGGAGACTTTACTGAATTTAAGGTGAAGTTATTGCTCCTGATTTCTCGGGTTTTTTGCCCTTGGATAAAGCTGCAGCTTGTTTCAGGAGCTCTCGGTTCTTGGCCTGCAGGGAGAAAGGAAAAGAGAAGTGAATAAAATGTGTATTTCAGTACACTAGATAATGGCTAGCTTGCCCTGGAATAAGCCACAATGGCTGGGTTTGCACACTGCACTAATCCATGGTTTAACATTGCATGGTCCCTTGAATCAAACCTGATTCCTGGTGACCGCAGGAACAAACCCATGCTGGCTGGGGAATTCTGGGAGTTGAAGTCCACACATCTGAAAGTTGTTGAGTTTAGAAACACTTTCATAAGATGGGACATTATAAATCATAATGGCTGGGTTCATACAATATACTGAATATTAAGCCAAAACTGGAGGAAAAAACCACATTTTGGCATAGCATGATGTAGGAATCAAGTCAGCATCTAATGAATCTTGTGAATACCCGTAAAAAGACCAAATGAAAAAAGATTACCTGCAACTGTTCTGTAACTTCTTTGTGAGTTTTTTCCATCTGGTTCATTTTCACCCTCATCTGCGATTCCTGGTATTGCAAGTCAGCCTTCAGTTCTGTTATCTGCAAACCAAACCAAAGAAAACAGGGTTGCTGAGATTTGTTTGCACTGAATTGATCTAATACAATGCTAGCCCTCCCCAGGGGAATCATCTAAGTCAGTTCTGGGTTGAAGAATAACAGAAGGTGTTTTATTAACTTCCTAATATATTTTACAGGAAAATTGAAACGGGTACCTAGCTAGCCCTGGCCAATTCCCTTCTGACATCTTTCAGAATGGCAGAACACAAGCCATTTCCATGTCTCTTTTTATACTACCACCCTACTGAGGACAATGGACTTAAAAATTTAAAATTAAAAACAGTAGAAATAACTATAAACACAACATATGATCATGGAAAAGTAAAAAAGGTGGAGTTTGGATTGGTTTGCCTCCCAAAGGCACCTTTCTCTCATTTCCCTAACCTGTATTTTGGAGAGAGAGAGGGAGGAAAAAAGCCATTTTGCTATCACATTCAGGGAGCTGAATATTGTATCTGCCCTTGGGCTGCGCATCCCTGAAATGCATGTGCATACATCAGTGTTTCTCAACCTTAGCTTCTTTAAGATGTCTGGACTTCAACTCCCAGAATTCCCCAGCCAGCTAAGGTTGTGAAATTCTGGTATACATGAAGTTCACTGTACTGTAACTGATTAAGCACACACACACACACAAAAGTTAAGAAATAACAAGAGATACAGAAATGGCTACATTGATGTTCCATGTGTATTTTGTTATCTTTGGGAGTGCAGCTATTTTACTGCTCGTTATTGTTTTAAGCTGTTGTAGGGGACATTGTAGACATTCGTATATAAACACGGAACAGATAACTTTTCAAATACGTGAAATATATCACCACTGGTGATATATTTATTTATATTTAAAAAGTTACAGCAGTGTAACTTTTTTAAAAAAGAAAAAAAGGAGAGGGAGAAGAGAAACTCGGAAAGATCATTCTCCTGTGTTGTCTTCTATTGGACATTGGTGACCATCAGCACTATTTGCTATTTTGTGTTACTGTCCAAAGGGAGGACATTGCATTTTTGCCAAACCATGCAGAGAAAATGTTCAGCCAGAATACATGTCATTTTTGAGTGCTGCATCTCCCTTGACTCTTGGTTTAATTAATTAGTGCTGGTTTCAACCCATGATGCCCTTTATGGCTTGGTGCCTGGTTACCTGCAGGACCACATCATCCCTACTAGAGTCAGCCTGATATTTCAATCATGCTGAGACAAGCAGCCGGTTGTCCCCCATTTTTGGAGGTTGGGGGGCCGAAGCCCAGAAGTGTTGTTTTTCAGTGATGAGGCCAACCCTCTGGAATGATCTCCTGCTGGAGATTCATCTGTCTGCAACATTGATGCTTTCCAGAAAAAGCTGAAGATAGAGCTTTTCTGGAGAGCTTCTGGGGCCTGATGCCATGCATTGCGTTTAGGGTTTTATTTGTTCTACATCTATATTTTATATTTTGTTGTATATTCTTATTTTGTGAGCCAGTGAGAGTCCTGTGATTGCAGCAAGATACACTTTGATAAATAAATAAATGGAATAGTCAAGATTTCTCACTGTGTATTATATGTCCTAAATATTTCAATTTCTTTTTTGGGGGGATGTTATTTACAATTTCTCTATCTTTCCCATACTATACAGGAGCATCTCATTTCATCCACATTCAAAATGAGATATTTTTGGTCATCTTTCATAACTCAACTTTTCAAAGACTTCTATTTCCCTGGTTGTCATTTGGGTCCCTGTCCATATTTCTACTCCACAGAAAAGAACTGGAAAAACACAAGCAAGTGTATTATCCACCAACAAATTCCAGCTTTAAACCCCAACAGCAAACAAGCTGACTTATTTTTTGGACAGCTATCTTGCATGTTCAATCCTGCTCCTTTTTTCCATGCTGTGATCTCATCTATCATTCCAACCATCTCATTCAAAGTGATCGTGGAAAAAATAAAAGGGAGGGGGGGGGGAAGATAAAA